GATGCAATAGGTAGCACTATATTGGTACAATGATTAATTACAGTAAGGCAACATCTATGTGCTTTGTGGTTCCAGCAGTTCCCAGCTGGGCACCAGCTAGCCAGTCTAATTTAAATTGTGACCTAAACCAACAAACGGAGTCGGAGCCAATTACGACGTAGTGTATAAAGCAGTAGAGACAGCTTAGTATTTGATCACATCATCAGGAGTCGAGGTACATTTTGACAGGCATGTACTGTGTGTGTTTCTTAACTTCAGTGTGCTGCTTCAGCAACAATCTTAACTCATGTCTCCCTTTCATGACCAAGATACTGGCTGAACTTAGGTAGATTCCCATTCCATGCATTCTTCCAATTATGAGGAATAAAACTGGCGGGGGGGTCACTGCTGTGAACATACCAATTTGGGCTGTAAGATGCACTCCTTGTAAGATGCATCGTATTTGGAAAGATAAATGAGAGGTATGGGCATGCAACTGATTTCCCTCGTTTTCTACTACACACTCATACAATTGAAAATCAAAATACACTAGTTTGCATGCCTGAAAGTAGAATAAAGTTATCCACAGTACTCGGGAAGTTCTGATGCATTCCTCGTGGTGTGTTGCATGAACAATGTGTGGTACCAGTCTAATTATGATGGGGGATTCATAATTTGGCAGGTTGACATTGCTGGAAATATGTACGTGCTGACTTCAAAATGGCCGCCTTGCCAAATATAAACAGATATTAGGGCTGTGTTGAATGACTTGGCTGTGACTTGATATTCCCCACAAGTCGATGGTTGTGGCTCCTGCCCATTAAGTCATTTGTTATGTCCGACCGCAAGCCAAGTCATTTGGACACAGCCTGGATTGGATTCAGTTGGGCCAGACTTTAAAATAGATAGGTCTCCGACGTGAAATTGAAGACCATCTCCGGATGGTGTGCCCCCATTCAATTGTATTGTGTCCTTCTTTCCTCAGGTGGATCCTTTTCATACCCTGTTCGGTATCGCAGGCTTGTCACTCCTTGGTTCCTTCTCTGACCAGATCAAGCCGGTCAACCCCGTGTTCTGCATGCCAGAGGAAACACTTCTAAGAATACGACTCACACCCACACTCTTGTAGATATCTACACAGGTCACTGTACTTCTCTGTCTTTTTTTTTCTGTTTATTTCCAAGCAATGTCAATATTTCCTTCATATACAATTCATTCCTTCTGGCTTGATACAAAACAGTTTAGCTCAGAAAAAGTTGCCAACTCTTTTGAATTAATTGGGGGCCATATTGAATTCAACCAAACCAGAATGACATTAAATTTTCAATGCTGGAAATGTCATATTTATAAAAAGTGTTTTCCTTAAATTGTTCCCAGTCTACAGTAACATGGATGTGTTATGGAAACTTTGGTGTTATTAGACACACATTTAAACACTTGTGTGTGCGCTAACCTTACATACCAAGTGTGGACTTGTGAACAAAAGATGTCTACACGATGCAGGAAAGGAAGACTTACACACGTCCACAGGACGTTTCCCCTTCTTTGAAAAAGAAGTTTAGAGGCATTTTGGGGCAGAGGTCATCCGTCGTAAAAGGAACAGGAGCAGTCACGGAAACCTTTTACAAATGTCCAGCTGAAAATCCTGTTCCCAGTTCAAGAAAAACGAGTATTTTCACTGAGTTTTCTTAACTACAACGAAAAGAAAGGAAAGTCCACTGTAGGTATGTAAGGTAAGTGTTGGTGAGTGTACGTGTGCACAAATAAATCAACTACTCATAGTCTCCCAGCTGAGTAAACATTCAGTCCTATGAGTTTTTGGTGTCAAGCTGGTAGCCAGGTATCATATGTTCGTTTCAGCGCATTCTATTACTTCCCCTGTGATTGGTTTTAGTGGTTTAATTGAACAATCCAGTGTGACTTCTCACGCTCAATCCCCAGGCCCCAGTAACTGAGCTGCCGAGTTGGTTACTTCCAAAGTATTCCACAATGCAATGTATAAATATGGCTGCTGAGTGGAACGATACAAGGAAAAGCTGACACGATTGTAAAAAGTTCAGAAAATATCTTTGCATGCATGGCAAAGTAGCTCAGTCAAGTAATTTCTTTGAAAGGAAAGCCCAGACGTGTGTACTGATGTCCATTGTTTTGGCTGTTGGAATTCATTCTGCCAAATTAATCGCTTAATGACCTCTTGGGGCACCACATATTATGCGTGTCCATGACAACACCACAGGTAAGCAAGAAGGAAGTCATCGAATAGCCTGTTGAAGAACAAATTCCCAATCACACAATACCCTCTGTGAACAAAGCTGTCAATTTGCAAACTTGTTCAATCAACCTGTCGCAAGTGTTACTCAAAAGGTCAAAAGACAAAAAATCATGAACATGAGATTCAATTGGTTTTTTTTTTTCAGTGGTGAAATGTGAAGACTGAAAGTATGAAACAAGTAACATCACTTAGATTCTCAAACTCTTGAATTGTACAATGTTTGGTAACTCTAAAAAGATATCATTGCCATTACATATTGTTTCCCAAATAAATACTGGTGTGACATATTTTACAGGAATCTATAGCCTTTGATGTTTTCCATATGAAGCAAGATATAGGGACGGAGAGAACCCCCCCGCCTTTGTGTTGGTCATTGTTTGATCGGAATTCTTTACAGACATCTGGGAGGATGTGTTAGGTAACAGTACTCTAGGGTGTGTGTGGGGATCAGACATGTAGGGGGGTACCCCTCCATCCCATATCTTGCTGGGTATAATGTTTTCGTCGGAGTCTGCGCCCTAGATTGTTAGGCAAACATAATGGAAGAACTAGTCAAATACATTGTAGGTACCAGACAGGCAGGCTTTTAAATCCATGTCATTCCTTGACAGTTCTTTAAAATATCTATAATAACTTAAGACGTCGAAATTTATTTTACACTAAATATTTCCGGAAACACCTAAGTCCCCAACTGTTGTGTCTGTTACATCAGATGCCCAGTTTGCATATTTTTTAGCTTCTTGTGACTCTGCTAGTGATTCAACATGATCCCTAAATTGGCGTGATGGAAAGTTAGGATAATTGGCAAGATTTCTTGTCAATTACTTCCTCATTTTGTCATCTTGAAACAAAAAAAGTCAAATCAAACTCAGTCTTCCAAAATCTAATAATCATTTCAAAGGAGAGGAAATTTTATCATCTGAGAGAGGAATTTACCTTTAGCGAATCATCCACATTTAATTGAAGTGGTTATGCCCTGTGTCTCCCGCAAAAAGATGGAAGCAAATTCTGTCCACCTTAAACATGAAATGCCAACTGGCACTATTTACAACTTCCAGGATTTGAAAGAGAACACTTGTAGCTTGATGCATTTTATTTCATCTTTTTTGCTTTTGGTAATCTAGAGATGGGCCCCAAAATTGAGGGAGTTAGAAGGATGAGCCCCGTCAGCATCTCCTTAGGAATCAAAGTGAAAAGCTCATATGTGCATTTTTATTTCAATTAGGTCACGTGATCAGAGTTCACAAGACACAGACTCAATTTGGATCGCTTATGTTTATACTTGGGAACCTCTCTGGATTACCAAAGGACAGGAGATGGACATTTAAAAGCATAATTAAGCCAAGAGTGAACTCTTTTAAATGTTATATTTACAATGGATTGTATCTTGCACTATTTGTGGGGGACACACTGCATAAGATGGAAGTGTTGAACATTATTGTCCCTTACTGTGTTTAAAAAAATTCGGAGTGCCTGGAATTCAATTTCATTTGAAAATATATTGTTTGGGAGATAAGTAATGGTTAGAGTGACTGTTTTTCTCTCTTTTGTAAAACTGGTTTCCGCTTTGGAATTTAAACTCTGCATATCGCCTTGTCAGTGCAAGATGTCGTAACTGCTAATCACGTGAAATCATTTTTTGCTGTATTTTGATTCAGATTTACTCAAGGATTATAACGGGCATATTTCACTGAAGACGCATTATTATGATGTAATTAATTCAAGTTAAAATGTCGTTTATCCTTTGCACAACAGAAGCATGAGAAACAAACACACAATTTGTAAAAAAAAAGAATACTGAATAAAGTAACATTTGCAACTGATTCAGATGCTACTTGATTATTTCAAAAACAGGCTTTAGTTGGAAGACGGAAATTCCTTTGAAACCAGAGCAGAGTTACGATAATCTGTGGCTTTACAAGATTTACACCTTACATTCTTTTGTGATGGGGCACTGCGGTGTGTTTGTGCAAAACGTTGTGTCTCACTGTGTTGTGACTTACTGGAAAGCCCGGTGCGCCATTCAAGTTGGAATGGGGTGTGTTGATCTCATGTCAATCAAAGTTCATTTATCTAACATTGATCAAGATACCGAAAGCCCAGCACAACCGATCTATGTTCCTTAATGCATCCTTTGCCTGAAGTCGTCGCATCATCCTGTAATTCAGCACAAAAGTTACCATGAGGCCACAAATCTATTTGTGCATCTACTCCAAACTGAGATACGACGTTTATGCACTGGCAAGACGATATCAACTCTTGACATCGTACACAAGGGTCATTCAGTCGACAGTGTGCAATCATTTTAATGGGGTGTTCAGCAACTCTGAAATACTCATTTCCAAATAATGCCAGAATTTCATCAGTGATAAGAGAGTTTTTTCCCCTTTTACAAAAAGTTCTTCACAAAAATTACTCTGTCCAGTCAGCCTAAAATACCATATTCTAGTCAATGTCCACACAGTGTTAGTTGTCCAGATTTTCCACAACACGGAAGAAAAGTCACCCTTCTAAATTACTTGTAATCAAAACCATAAAAAAGTACCGACATTCACTTGTTAAATTCTGATAGAGGGCATTAAATAAATCGCTCCCTCACAAATGGAGCAAAGCCATAGATCTGTTCAACAACTGATGGAGAAGAATGAATTATGGGTAACTTTGGTACTCATCTTTTCCTTAATCACTATTAATAAATGGAGAAAGTAAAAAGAAGAGACCTAGGTTACTGTCCATTTATCATGCTTCTCACACTGTAAAGCAGATCTATGTCCTTGGTATAGAAACTACATCGGTCACACACATTTGCTTTTCTTAACACTTCCCAGATTGAATGTGCATGTGTGCTGTCTATTACATACAATATTTATTAATCTAATTAATCCTCGTGCTTCAGGGAAGTTCAGTGCAAACAATGCTGACGGAACATGCCTTCCATGATGCCAATCTATAGAATTTAGCAAGTGATACAATTTATCAATTTATAGGCTCCCCATCCCTAAAGTAGTGGTTTACAATAACAATGATAATACCCTTTTGGTCAGGTTGTGGCTTGCATTGGATTGTAGTTAGGGTCCAAATAGTTGTAGTCTCCGGAGCTGGGTTCAAAGCTGGTATAGTCCCCATCCACATAGCTCTGGCTGTAGCCGGTGTGAACTGGTTCCATCCGGTGACTGCTGGAATGATGCTTGGAGCTGAAGTTGCTGTGGGGCAGTTAGGAGATGGTTTTTTATGTTGCTGCCACAAAATTTGTCTTTACATGTGTTGAATAGCACGACTCTTTCGTTATGACTTTAAAACCCAGCTTGTGATGGCTGAAAAAAGTCTCCAAAGTACAAGAAATCAAAGGAGCACAGTAATCTACACACGGTAAAATGGGTTAACAAGTTGCCAACTTCTCTGTTCATGTGAAAATTTGCATCATCATATTGTCAGCCTCAAGGCACGTCATTGCAAAATGGTGAAGATACAGTTCAAAATGTGCAGGAATAAAGTTATGTAAGAAATCAGACTGTGTTGCAGCAGAGACCATGCTAAGTTAATCACCAGATATCCAGGCTTTCCAGATAAACAGCAACAAACAGAGCGATGGGCTCACCCACAGCACACTCGTAGATTGCAGATTTCATATTCACTTACCAGTTGACACAGTTTTGGCAAAGATCTGTGGAGATAGGTTCTGGGCACTCAATGCAGTGCCAGCGCACACCTAGAATGGGCTCCATGTCGCACCCATCGCAGCGGTAACCAGCATGGCCCTAACATGGGGGAAAAACATTGACGGGTTTCTTCACTGTTTTGGATTACCAAAGCATCAGGAAAGCAGGTCCATACGAGGAACACCAAAGTGTGGCACAGTTTGCTGCATAAGTGAGGAGTGTTGAACGGTAATGTATATTCCACAGGGGATCACTTCACAGGGATTAGGAGCATGCGTGGTAACTTCATGGACGATGGAAGGATCACGGCAAAACTTGATGGGTTATAGATGGTTAAAGATGAAAACAGACGAGTTCATGACAAGAATAAATACAGTTAGAGTAAAGGTAATATTCCATTTTATACATTATTTTTTTAGCTTTTAATGTGTTTTCTATAAGGTTGGCGGTGACAATTTTTAATCAAGTCAGACACAGGGTTGCACTTTAAACACTCTTAAAATGACGGACTTAGCAGCCGTATGCTATCACAATTTCAGGTTGAACACCAATTTTGTGAAAATGACTTGTTTGTTGGCATGTCCAATTGTGCAGAAGCATACTATTCCTTGTGAGGATGAGAATAAAAGCTGTCCAGACAGTGCAGGTAGTGAGGACATGAGAGCAAAAGCTGTCTAG